TTGATGAACTTAAGGGTTTGTCTTCCGCTACAGCCATTGCCATCAATGGTGAAGGTAGAGGTGGAGGAAGGAGTAACAAGGTGATGGGAAAGACAGTTTCAAGATTCCCCAGCCAGTTTTGAATGTTGGTGTTCTGGAAATATTGATTCCTTAAATTTGGACTTGTTCTTTATTGGTTGAATTTGTTGGTTTTGAGAGGCTCTGGAAATGGCTGTCTGATTTATCCTTTTTTTCACTCATTTTGTTCTTATCTGGGATTTTGAGTATCAGTCTTATTCATAGGTGTCAAGATTTGAATAACTTGAATGTTCCTTATGAATACTCCTAAGGACTTGTATAATTCTATTTTATGATCTCTTACTGAGGATCTTACAGTATAATGTAAACTTGTAAAGTTAAGGTGTATGTAAAAGTGTTTCTCACTGTAACACTGATATAGAAAATACACAGTTTTGCATTTCTTTTTTATGTGGACTGGTTGATTTTTGTGTTTCGAAATGAAGTATCTTCAAACAAATATTCAAAATAGGTGTGTGATTTGTTGCTAATGCTTAACTCAAACTATGTCTTTCACCTCTTCCCACATTCTACTAGTGATATTGTAATTGCCAAAGTTTAGGGTATAAGTTTTTCTTTTCCTTTTTCAATAAAATTCTTCCTCAAGTTTTAATTACCAACCTTTGGGTTTAAAGATTGTAGTGGAATCTGTCTGTTTCTTTCTGGCGTGCTTAAGAAAGGGCAAATGTCAAACTTTATCTTTAGTATGTTTTTATCTTCATGTATTTTTGGTTGAACAAATACATAGAACAAATCAAGTGACATCATCAATTTTCATTTATAAGAAGGCAATAAAACATTGGATGCTACAAAACTTACATTAATCCTAAAAAAAAGACAATAAAGGCGAGCTTAGGTAAATTAAGCTCATCAAGTTGGTCCATTTTTTCGTATCCGGATACCTAAAAATACAAAGAGATTCAATCAGAAAAAACATCATGCTAGTCCACGGTTTCCTTTTTATTTGATGCATAGAATGTGCCCAAGTTAAGTTCTTATAGGAGGAAGATCTTAATCTATCAACTTGTGTCATTTAATATTATATTTTGATCATAACAAATAAATAAAACAATTTTAGTGTGTCTAGTATATTTTACCTTGTGTGCAATATTAGATAAAAACTGAGTGATATTTGATCATGCCAAAAAGAGCTTCTTGTTAAACTAGCAGTCATGATTGAAATCTACTATAAAGGATTGAAATCTACTATTTGCAAAGAGCAGAAGAATTGTCAATCTTCACGAGTGCAATAGAGAATATATAGAAGTGTTAGATTATCATGTTATCTAATGAGTGCAAGAATGAAGCAACTCTTTAATTAGTTTTATGGGTCCTAAATAGAATTTACGGGGCTTGTATTTAAGATTTTTTGTTTAATTCTAAAAAGGTTACAAATAAGTATTTGGAAGCCCAAAAGGCTAAAGGGTAAAAACATTAAAAAACTAAAGGAAACAAAAAGACGTTTGGGCCACTATATTCTCCTGTTTACAAAACTACATGGTGAGCAAAGAAGACACACATGAAAAGTAGTGAAAATAGGAAAAGTACACCAAGATTGAATTGAGTATTTAAGACTTCTAAAAGCTTTTTGGGTTGATAATTAGACGAAGTTTTAATGTGACTTCAAACTGTGAAAAACACTTTTTTTGAAAATGATCGTCCCATAAATTTTCTTTGGTTAGTTCCAAATATGTAATTTAAAGATAAAGGGTAGAGATAAATTTACACAAGATATTTTTATTTTGATTAGTTACAAATATGTAATTCAAAGATATAAGAGTAGAGATAAATTTACACAACATATTTTTATATTGGTTAGTTTATAAAAACTATACTACTCTTGATCTATATGATAAAATTACTCTATTAAACTAATGTTGCAAGATACAACACGTATATTATTTAGATCTCAGCCACTCTTGATAAAAAAATAAAATATCATTTGAATTTCAATTACTTTCTAATAAGACAAACACAATCACTCCTAATTGAACATTAATTAAGTATTCTTTGAACAGGCCATCAGTCTTGGTTAAAACATGAGTATTCTTTGAAGTCAACCATTATAGAAAAAAATGCAAATTACTGACTAATTATTACCTCTATATTAGTATTTCAATATACAAATCTCTTTATGGGTACTTAAACATATAATTTTTAATATTTAGTTCTAACATAATTTTAAAGAAGATGTGAATAACTAAAAGTAATGACATATTATAATATAACTTTTTTACTATATGTTAAAATGCTTTATTTATTATAAAATTTAATTATACCATTGTTCATTTATTTTAAAATTTAATTATAGAAATTAAACATTTATTATTCTAAAATACTAGTAGACTATAACATCGAAACGTAAACTACTATGCTTAATTTAATGATTTTCGTTATAATATATAGGTGAAAATATGCACGGACATGCACATGTATATATATTTTTTATAATAATAGAAATAAAAAATATTATAATAATTAATTAATGAAAAAATATTACTAAAGTTTTTCTTGAAGTTAAATATAGTGGAGTAAATTAAAAAAAAAATCATAAAATTTATTTTTATTAATATTTGTAATGTTAAAATTATGTAATAAGAATGTTTATAGTTTTTAAACAAAATTATAATTAAAAAACTAATACAAACACATGCACTTATAAGAATTTTTATTACATATAACTATGTGAGAATAATATTTAAAATATTAATACAGGAAAATTTAGAAATATATATAATTTTATTTTAAGGAATATGACGTGATTATTTTGAAGGAAATAGGTTATGTCATTATTTTTTAGGAGAGAGAAATATTTTGTAATCACTTATTCTACTAAATGAAAAGTTACTTTTTATTTATTAATAGGTAAAATTATCTAATTAAAAGATATAAAAGTAGTTATCTGTGTTGTTTTACTATGATGATGGTATAATGATATAATATTATTATGATATAGATATATATATGAAAATAATTATAAAATATCTTAAATTTTACTATTTGGTATAATTATATTATAAAACATATTCAGTCTGGCTAGTTTTACAAACTTCTATCTCTATTATTAATTTCTATAAATTTAAAAATCTTTCATTTGTAATCAATTCTTAATGACCTTCCTTGAACATAATAGCCTGTAATTAATTTGTATTATAAGAGAAAAGTAAAGTTGACTTTAAATTAAAATAATAGTATTTTCATATATTTTCAAGTAATTAAAGAAAATATTTTTAATTAAAAAAGTTATAAGTGTATTTTGAATGATTTTGAGATTTTAACACATTACTAAAAATTGATTGATATTTATTAAAATTCATCATTTTAATTATTTAAACCCTATAGGCTATGTCAAGGGTCAATTCTCCACCCTCTTCTTTCTTTCGTTATCCTTGAACTTTACACGCCCTGCTTCAAACCTTATCCCAATCTTCCACATTTCGTATCCAATTGAAATCATATAGACTAAGAAACATCCAAAAATGATTTTATAACTTCAGTCAAATTCAGATTCCCATTATAAGCAAACCAATGAAAATAAAGAAGAAGAAAAAAAATTCTCTTCTTTATTTTTTCAAAGATTTTTTTTAATCTTAGTCAAATTCCACCTTTCATAATAAAAAAAATATTTAGTTGGATTGGTATAAGAATAAATCTCTTAAACTAAAGTACATAATTGAAATGGAAACTTCGTTGAAGATGATGGATTACCAAAAATAACCCAAATTCAAGTCAACAACTTTCATATTAAGAAAACTGAAATCCAAAATAAATGCTCTTAAAATTTTATTCACATCTTTTCCTTTATTTATTTATTAATTTTTAAGACTTACTTGCTTAATGGGTATTTGTTTCTTCACCACATACCTTATCTTTTTTTCCCAAGTCAGATATTGCATGCTTTGCGGATCCCATTCATGTTTTTTCCAATAAAATAATGATTAAATCTACAGTGCATCCCAGACCCCCAGAGCTTTACCGGTGCCACCCTTTGAATGGTTGGCATTTGCATAAAAACTAGTAAAAGCAAAAGAAAAAAAAAAAGTTATTCTTTTTCAATATTCTATTCACATTTCCAAGTGTTCTTTTTAATGTCTATATACATATTTTTCTTAAAGGGGTGTGTCAGAGTCTGTTTCCTATGATTCTGTTTCTGGGTACATAGATCAGGTTGAATCCAAGTGTTTGGGGTGGTGCAGAATTCAGAGCAAGTGTGCAGCAGAGGAAGAGGAATAATAGGAGAAAGGTGATAAGGGTGTCAAGATCAATGGGGTTACCTGGTGTTGATAGAGAATTGAAGAAGATTTTGAATGCAAATATGGACCAAGTGGGTGCCAGAAGGCGTGCACGTGAGGCCTTCAAGGATATTCAGCTTGGAATTGATCACATATTGTTTAAGGTTTGGTTTTGTTTTGTTTCTTTTGTTTTGTTTTGATGCTGTTTGTGGAATAGATGACATGATTAAATCCATGCCATTTTTTTGTTGTTGTTTCTAATGTGCTTGGTTTTGTCTTGTGAGTGAACGTTTTGCTATTTGATTATGGAGGGACTTGCAAAATATTTGGTTTTGCCCTTTATTGTTTCTTACTTCTCTCTTTCTTTAATGCTGAGGATATTGATTGGTGGACTTGAAACTTTGACTTTGAGATTTCTGATTTGCAAGCAAATCCCTTGTAAAGAGAAAGATATTTGTTCTGACTTTAGCTTCTTTTTGATATTGGGCATGGAGGGTTTGTTTGGTATATTCTGTTGCAGCTATTAATTATAAGGTGAATTCCTCTTCAAAATAGTTTACCCTAATTTCTTAAAGCAAGAAAAGATGAGATTTTAATATATTTTCTGTTAAACTTGATTATGTGGATGAATTTTGGTTTGGATGAATACTTGAAGCTAGTTTTAAAAATTTAAACTCATTAGAATTAACTGTGTCACAGCCAGAGTTAATAGAAAAAATGTGTTAAAGCTCAAATTGAATAAATTTAACTTTATTGTGAAATGAGATGAGTCATGAACACTTCAATTCTAGTTTGTCATAGGGGTAGGGGGCTTCAACTGTTGGTATTAAATGTTGCAGAATTGGAAACTCTGTATTTAAATGCAACGGGGTCAGCCTTCAATACAACTACAATAAGAGGAAAAATGTTAGGTGGGAACTCGTTCAAAATTCAGACAATTTTTAGTATAATATTATTTGACTATGGTATTCAATAATTTAGGGTAAAAAAATGTAAATTTATGAAGTTCTTCTTGCATAAATATAATGCTCATTTACACAATTAATCAAACGTTTAAGTGTACTGGAATAGTAAGTGGAGAATTCTTACATGAGGACGGTGGTGAGTGGAATGTTGAAGCTATCTTTTTATTTTTCTAAGTTTTTGAGTAGTTGTGAGTTGTGAGCATGTACTGGTGCAAAATGGCACCGATTTCTGGTGTAAAATGTGAGACCTGACCCAATAAAAAATGTGTTACAGAGATATTTTGAAAAGACTTGTCAAGAGCATGTAGGGATTCACAATAATTATGATAGTTCAGTGAATTTCTTGAGTAGTTAATATTCCTTAAACATGTTAGGTTATTTTTTTTTATCATAGTTTTTTGGACTCTAGTATGGCCTACTCGTTCTTTCTTACTCAACTTTGCATCAGACACTACAATATGCAATTAGATCTGTACATTGTCTTTTCTCCATTCTTTTTCAAACCCATCCATTGCATGACATTTTCATGGTCTTGGCTTTTGGTAACCTTTTGGTGCTGGGATAACTTTTTGTGGGGGGTGCAGTGATTGTTTTATTTCACTTTAAATCAGTAAAATTTCATTTCCTTTAAATTTTAACATCGATTCTTTTGTGTTTTCTGTTTTTGTAGACTCCATGTGATGGAATAAAAATGGAAGAGGTTAGTGAGAAATTTAGTCTTAAACGCTTTCCTGCAATTTATGTTTCTTCTGAGTAGTTACCAAAAAAAGTGACGATTGAGTAACTATTTCTATGAATCATCACCAGTGCCAACTATTGTCCTGTTTTGCTATTGAAATATGATGATTGACTTAATTTTGTGTGCTATGGAACAGTCATATGAGAAGAATTCAAAAGGACTAGAAATCTTCTGCAAAAGTTGGCTTCCTGAAGCATCTACGCCAAAAGCAGCACTATTTTACTGTCATGGTTATGGAGACACTTGCTCCTTTTTCTTTGAAGGCATGTAGTTGATACTTAGACTTGGTAGCTATAAGTAACTATCAGTTATCTTGAGGATTAGCAACTCAATGGTATCATGGACTTTTTTGCAGGAATTGCTAGAAAACTGGCATCATCTGGATATGCAGTTTTTGCCATGGATTATCCGGGATTTGGTCTATCAGAAGGTCTTCATTGCTTTGTTCCCAGTTTTGATGGACTTGTTGATGATGTTATTGAGCATTACTCTAAAATCAAAGGTACCTATACTCCCATCAACCCCCAAGTCATGAAATTCTTAGTCATCATGAATTTCTTCAATAGTTTGTTGCGTCCTGGTGGTTTGTGATTATGTTTACTTTTTAGTTTGGACACAGTCAAGGATCTTGAACTACTATTTATTTTTGTATAAAGTATTTGATCCATTCCTTCTGAAAGTAGTCTATACTATTAATCAATGCTCAAAATATAAAGAATATCAGAAAAAATAACAATAAATTAATGATCTGTGTCTTCCAATAGTATTGAGTTGGAGATGACTAGAATTAGACATCAAAGGGTCAAAGAAAAAATGTTTTTGAGTGCTTTCAAGGATATTTTTTTATTTAAAAAACTTGGAAGCTAAGGGAAACAACAAATTCTTTATTTGTTTATTTTGAGGTTTGTGGTAGGGTGATGAGTTCCAAACCTATTTTGAAAATATAAATTATTGAGTTTTATGAAATGTAATTCTTCAGGTTGTAGTTTTTCATCTGCTTTTTGCATATATATTCTAATCAAGGCAGTAGCTAAAGTGAATCTATTCTTCAGTTCTATTTTCCATGTTCTTAAAGTCACAGTTCTATTTTCCTGGTCAAGAAGAATGGTGACTTTAAGAACATGGAAACTATGAAACATTAAATGTTACATATATTTTCCTATTTCTTGGGCGACAACTTAAACAATTTAATAACAAGGAATATTGTATTTGGAGTAAATGGTTTGTTAGTAGGGTGCTCATCAGTTAGTTTGTTGATGGTTTGTTACTAATAAGTTATCAATAAATTAAACACCATTGTATCTCGCTCATAATCTCTTAATCAATGAATATGATTCTTTGTGATTGCTTCTCTCAAACTACTCAGCATTAGCCTTTGATCTCTATCGTTCTCATCCTCTCATTACTTACATATTGATTCCGTTATGTTCAATCAAAAGATTTGGTTCATGTTGCAGAAAATCCAGAGTTTCGTTCTCTTCCCAGCTTCCTATTTGGACAGTCCATGGGTGGAGCAGTTGCATTAAAGATACACCTGAAACAGCCTAAGGCATGGGATGGTGCCATTCTTGTTGCACCTATGTGTAAGGTATTTTTCTTGAAACACTAATGTATGGAGTTCTGGCTATTCTTTGCTTTGATCTCCCTTTGATTACAAGATCTTTGTAGATTGCAGATGACATGGTTCCACCAAAGTTGGTCACTAATCTCCTTATTGGATTAGCCAATGTTTTACCAAAGCATAAATTGGTTCCAAACAAGGATTTAGCGGAGGCTGCATTCAGAGATTTAAAGAAGAGGGAACAGGTTTGTGTTTTGTGATGTACTCCAACAGAATGTTACTTTTTCTCAGCTAATCTTAATACAAAGATCCATTTTTTCTTCTGCGCTTTTTAGTGACTCCATTTTTCTCCAAATTTTTTCATGCATTTGTTTTTGGTAATGTGTGTTAGTAAGAGATTCACACGTTTCTAATGTCTTTGCAGACTGCTTACAATGTTATTGCTTACAAGGATAAACCACGCTTGCAGAGTGCTGTAGAATTGCTCAGAACTACTCAAGAAATAGAACGGCGATTGAAAGAAGTACGTACTGATCTTCTGGTTTATCTGAACTAATTGGTTGGAAGAAATTATGGTAAAAGTGATAGGTTCAGAAAGGTCTCAAATCTTTGGTAGCAAAGGCAAGGATGCAAGTATAAGAATGTGTTTCATCTAAAACTAGTTCAATTCAATAGTTGAAACTGATGCCCATAAATTCTAAAACAAGATCTAGAAACCCCTTGAAACATGTCGGGCTATACCTTAAAATTTCGAAATGTTTGAGAATCATTTGTGGCTCATGTTTTGATGACTTTGAAGAAATAGCGAATAGTGATCCTTTCAAAACTACCCTTTTGCTCTGGCTTCCAAAGACACCACTCTACTTCATATATTGTTCATTTAATTTGATCATCCTCTCTTAATTTGATCTTCTTCTCCATGGTAGTATATCTTGGAGTTTGTATCGATTATTACTGCAGAAACTAAAAACACTATACTTTTCGAGATGTTTACATGATTCAGGATCACTACATGACCCATAGTCTCAACCATTCTTTGTGTGATAATCAAATTTTCAAATTTAGGAGAAAGAATTGATAATCCGTCGGTTAGATGTCACGTGTGGTTGGGACCACTGGACTCTCTAATAGTTTATCGTGCTTTTAGTTTGACCAAGTGTTCTTTCTAGACCTGCTGTTTAAATCTGAAATTTCACTTTTATTGACCATATTCTGTCAGTGTAATAAAATGTATGCATCTTCACACGTAATTGATTATGATTACAGGTTTCTCTACCATTATTCATCCTTCATGGAAAGGCTGACACAGTGACTGATCCATCAGTGAGCAAAGCCTTGTATGAGAATGCAAGCTGTTCAGATAAGAAGCTTAAGCTTTATGAAGATGCCTACCATGCTCTTCTGGAGGGTGAGCCTGATGAAGTGATTACTGAAGTTTTTGAAGACATCATCTCTTGGCTTGATGAACACAGCTTGAAACAGAACCAGCCTTCCTCCTAATACCGATAAATTAATTTTGCAATCTTCTGATTTAAAGATGAATATTTTTATTGGGATTGTTTCAAGCAATGGAATATAGAATGCTTCCGTTAAAGTTGCCTATTATTTGCAGCTTACGTTCAGTGAATACACCATAACCTTGTTTTATGTATATAACATACAAGGTATATATATGTATATTTTTTTTTTCTTTCTGTACCTTTATTTTTTATATGTTTTAAGACTTTACGTAATAAGAAAAGAAAAAATATGAGGGGAACAAAACATCCACCTCCTTTTACTATTCTACATCCCTTGGTTTGTGAGTTCTTGTGCAAAGTTTTGGTAACTTCAGGCTAGTGTATTGAACTATTTTTTCTAGGTCAGAGCTGCATTATATTTATTGGGAGATTTCCCTTAGACTCTCGTAAGGTAAAATTCTAAGTACTCGAAAGCAAATTCTATAAGCAAGAAACTCGGAATAACATTGTAAGCATTCCAAGATTAATTTATTAAGGAGTTCTTTAATGTTTTTGATGGATAAAGATGTAATTCTTATCTTCACTTGTTTAGCGAAGGGATACGTTAACTATTGTTTTTGATAATTGACAACGGTTTAAGAACCAATACATATTAAGATGAGGTAAAAAGAAAAGTTGACTTTAGTTATGAACCTTTGTTTCGGTTAAGAAAAATCGAAGCATTAAATTGAAAATAAATAAAAAATAGGTTTTTGGTAGTAAATCTACAAACATCAGAGGTCATGGACCTTATTAGATTTTAGATAATTATTTAAGTTTAAGTCTTTATGGAAAATTTTAACTCTCTCGTCATGCTCATCTTGAACTCATTCTTCATAAGGCTTGAAAATTTCTCACATAATGATTAATTAGTAACACCAAAAATTATATCATTTATATATAACTACACTGATATAAAATCATCTGAATAACTTTTCCTAAACAGGATGGTATCTACATGACCTCTAGTAAATCCATTTTCAAATAGAAAAATACTTAATCTCTCAAACCAAGCTCTACGAGCTTCTTTTCAACCATATAAAGCTTTATTTAGTTTATAAACATAGTTTGGATATGTTGAATCCTTAAATTTAGGGGGCTATTCTACATAAATTTCTTCCTTAATGAATTCATTTAGAAATGCATTCTTAACATCCATATGATAAAATTTTATGTTGTTAAATGTAGCAAATTATAGTAATAACCTCTCGTCTAGCAACATGAGCATAAGTTTCAGCATAGTCAACACCTTTCTATTGTAAGTAATCTTTCACTACCAACCTAGCTTTGTTCCTTACAAACTTACCTTGCTCGTTAAGTTTGTTTTTATACACCCATTTTTCTTCTATAATACTCTTGCTTTGGTGGTGGACATACAAGGGTCCAAACTTCATTCTTTTCAAATTGATCCAGCTCCTTCGTCAGTACTTGAACCTAACTCTCATCCTCTAAGGCTTCATCCACCTTTTGGGGTTTAATTTATAAAATCATTGCTTCGTGAACTTTAAGATTTGATGTTCTTGTGACTCCTTTCTTTGGGTAACCTAAAATAACCCCTGTTAAGAAAGAATCGTCTTCAGACTAATATGTATAAATGCTCTCATGTTTTGAAGTTTAACAAAACAACATTAAACGAAATGAGAATATGAGGATGTCATCGCTAAAATATGATAATTTTTGTATCACTTGTCCATTTATAATATTAGAGTCTTGAATAGATAAATCTATAGTATTTTTTTCTCTTAAAACATCTTCTTCTTTATCACCATCTACAATATAATAAAAAATGCTAACTAATAATATTAAAACAAAAAATAATAAATAATTAAATTAAATTAGGTGGGTTGGTGAGCCAACCCGACTCACCATGGGTTCAACCCGGTGAGCCAGGTTCTAAGTGAGCCGGGTTGAAAACTAGCCCGCATAAAAATATTACAATTTTTTCAAACCCAACCCGGCTCAAACCCGTGGTGAGTCGGGTTGGCTCATGGGTTACAACCCATTTTGACAGCACTATTCAAAATCTCTAAATACCCAGTAACATAGGAAACCCTTAGAAAAACACTTAGGCCTAAACGAGACGTTATACTAAACGATTCAAAAGTTAAAGCGCCTATGAGAGTTGTGTTAAAAGCAAAAGTTATAATGTTTCAAACAGTATTCAATCAAACTATCAAAAGAATTTAAAAGTTGTTGAGACAATGTTTTTGGTAAAGCTATTTAAGAGTCTCAATCAATATTCCAAAAACTTGTAGAAGACAAACTTGTTAAATGCTCTGGCTAAAGGAAGCAGAATATTAAAGTGTTTACAACAGTCTAGACGATATCATGAGCAAAACCCTATACTTCGTCCAATGATGAAGTCCTTAATTAATGACTAGTATCTTAAGAGAAAAGCTGAAATGATAAAATGCTACCTGAATGGTAGAAAACGTAAAAAACACTTTGTTATTCTAAACAAGTATTAAATGTCATTAAATGATCAACGTTCAAAAACAACAAATAATGAGATAAAAGACATATCTATTTGAAATATATTAGAAGTGAACATTAAAGACAAAGAAAACATTCACAGAATGTTCTTTCCATCAGAAGTCATGCCAAGAAAATAGTACAACCTATTTCAATCGAAGTACTAAAAAAGCAAGTCTACTTTGGCAAGTTGACTTTAACCAACGGCTGCTTCACATGATAAGACAAAGAAGACACAAGATTCAAGGAAAAAGCTCAAGTCTAAAAAATATCTTTTGAGAAGCCTTTAAATAGCACAAGATTTGAAGAAAGAATCAAGAAAATCGCTTGAAAAAAAGAATATCAATATCGTCGAGAAGAAAAAGCATAGAAGAGCTCAAGATCAAAAGAGAATATCTAAGAAGAAGAGAAAAAAAAAGTCGAGAAACTCTCAAGGTTCATTGTAATATCAACTTACAATTTGTAAGAAAAGAAAAAAAAAAGAGAAACACTTAATGAGTTCGTAGACAGTATTGTATTGAACATATATCCTTTCTATAAGAGTTATCGTCTAACGACTAGTAAGCAATCAGATTAATTACAAATTTTAAAGAGAATTCAAACACTTGTTGTATAACTCAATAGAGTTAAGGATTACTAGGCAACGTATTGGGGGGATACCATGAAGTACCTGAAACACACTAGAAGGGGGGTTGAATAGTGTTAATAGAAAAACGAATTGCAACTTTCCTAATATAGCACTTTAGTCGAGTACAAGATTTATCATGTAATTATTAAACGTTCGACCATGTAAATGATTTTAAACAATAAATACTTTTCACTTGTTATTCAGAATATTCAGTGTAGTGTTTTAAGAACATCCTTTTTAATGAACAATCGTTTAGTATGTGAAGCTCTTGTATTTAAAACTAAAATGCAACCGCAGGTTTTATAATAGAAACGTTGAGATAGATGTAAAGAATAAATGCATAGATAATATTGGTTCACTCTAGCTAAGATATGTCGAGTCTCCTCTATCCTTGATGGTTCCAATATAATCTTCAACCAGATTACAACTGAGTATTCTCACCAATCATGGTATCCCTAGGCATTCCTAGTATCCCTCGATACGTTGCCCAGTTGAGTTTCACCCACACATGGTTGTGCAGTATTCTTCACCACTCTTAGTATCCTTAGGCAACGAATGACTCTTTTTACCCTAGATTGGTTGAGTTTCACCAATTCCTGCTTGTGTAGTATTCTTCACCACTCTTGGTATCCCCAGTCAGCAAATAACTCTTGTTACCCTAGACTGGTTAAGCTTCACCCACTCCTGGTACTAGACCATCCTAGTATCATATGATATGCTTCCTAGACGCTAGAGCAAAAAAGGCTTTTGACGTTTGTGTTTTTTGGCTTTTAACGTCTAAAATAATACTGACATCATATCGAGAGACGTTAAATTGACATAATTTTTTTAAAAAAAAAATTGATGTTAATTGACGTCATATCTCTTGAATGAAGTTATGAGAAAACACTAAAATAGGGGTTGAATAGTGTTTTCATAACTTATATCGTGGCTAAAGGGCTAAGCATTATGTACATAATACTCATGAGTTAGTTGTACTTTAACTATAAACGCAATTCCATGAAGATCGTTTACAGAATTAGCCCAATATTCTCCAATAGATGTATAAGTAGTAACATGTTAAAGATGTAAACGCTAGCTAAAAGTTTGATGCTAACTTAAGCGTCTAGAAGGATTGTCTTCATCAAGAGCTAGTCGTTTACAAAGAGGACTACAACACATAAACAATTTTTATATTGGTTCACTCGTTAAAGCTACATCCAGTTCTCCTCTAAGTTAACATAGAAGGTTTCATTAAATACTCAATGAATTACAGTTCAGTGTTTTAAACCACTCCTAGTGTTCCTAGTCCTATTAAGTAACCATTGTTACTTCTTACTAGTTGAGTTTGACTCATTCCTGATTGTGTAGTATTATTCACCACTCTTGGTATCCCTAGACCTTCCAGTATCACTTGTTATACATTGTCTAGTTGAGTATTACCCACTCCTAGTTGTGAAGTATTTTTCATCACTCATGGTATTCCTGATCAACAAATAACCTTCAATTACCCTAGACCAATTGAGTACTCTTACCACTCCTGGTTTCTCAGTCAACAAGTAGTTTTTAATTACCCTTGATTGGATGAGTATTCGCACCACTCTTGGTATCCTCAGTAAGCGAATAACCTCTTGTTACCCTAGAATGGATGAGTTTTTGCACCACTCCTAGTATCCTCAATCAGTAAATAACCTCTTATTACCCTAGCTTGATGAGTATTTGCATCACTCCTGGTATCCCTAGACACTCCTGATATCCACTGATACTGCCTAGTTGAGTTTCACGCATTCTTGGTTATGCAATACTTTTCACCACTCCTGGTACCCCTAATCAGCGAATAACCTTCAGTTACCCTAGACTAAGTGAATATTTGCACCACTCCTGGTACTAGACGACCTTGCCTAGATTTCCTTAACGCTCCAAAGTCAAGTTTTGAGTGTTTTTATTCTCTCCAAAATTGCAATCAACGATTGGTTACAAGTCCTTTAGACTATTACTCTCGTAGAGAGGATGTGATTATAGTATAAAGCAATCTAAACACTAGCAGGTGTTTCTCTCCTTACTCTTTTCTCTCATCTTATAAAGGTAAGCATATAATACAATGATGCTCAAGAG